TGACGCCTACCAGAAGGAGGTTTTCGCCGCGTTTTGCAACTCTCTCGACTTCCTCGAGAAGTTGTGCCCCGCAACTCTCCAGTACTTCCACTTCACGTTTGACGCGTGGGATTCGACGGTGAAGGGCACTCCTTTCGAGGGAAAAGTCGACCGCCAAGCACTGAAGGAATCTCTTCCTCTCCCTGACGGCTACTACGGTGATTTCTCGCTTTCGGATGATTACCCTTGGTGGTCAGGACTTGAGGCCTGGGCCATCCACAAGACTAGGTTGGTTGACCAGCTCGAGGTTCCTCCTACCCCTTTGTCTGGTCCAGTCGAATTGGTCGAGGCAAGTGGAGCTGACCACGAGGACTCACTAGGCGAGGATACTGAGGCCGAGGGAGGGGCGGTGGAGCTGTTAGCTGGTGGTAACAGAGACGAGGTTGCTGAGGGCGAGAAGACCCCGATTGTTGACGCCGAGGAGGGCGAAGGGACAGAGCCTCTTCCTGATGTTGGTGACGATGCTGGTGAGAAGTCGACAGCTGAGACTTCGAAAGATTGAACCTTATTTTGTCGCTTGTAATAATTTATTTTACTGGAATTATAATGGCTGTGGGGCCAGTTGTTTTTGCAATGTGTTTTCCTTTCCTTTTTTGCCGTACCCAACCCATTTTCAAAATTGTAAGGGTTGAGACGGCTACGGATGTAATGAACTATTTGCTTAATATAATTCTATCTCTTTTGGCTCTTCGTTTATGTTTATTGTTGATTCTCGTGGTTGATTATGCCCCAATGATTTCTTTTTTAAGTTTCCTAACTTGCCTTGTATGTCTCCTCCCAACCCGGCTTGCGAGCTGGTCGATCGAGCAACATTTTTAACAGCGTCGTAGCTGATAAACAAAGTTTCTTCAACTCGTCTTCTCCCAACCCGGCTTGCGAGCTGGTCGAAGTCGAGCAACATTTTTAAAAGTTTCGTAGCTGATAAACAAAGTTTTTTCAACTCGTCTTCTCCCAACCCGGCTTGCGAGCTGGTCAAAGTCGAGCAACATTTTTAACAGCTTCGTAGCTGATAATCTCTTCCTACTTTCCAAGGGATGTGATTGTTCGTATTATAGGTGCCATGGAGGATTATAAATGGAACGTCTTAGCTTGTTTAAGTCATCGTTACGGTAGCTAGCTCTATAGTCTATTCGAGGTTCCCTTCGAGTATAATTCCATAGGTATGTGTTGCGACTTCATAGTCGTAAGCTTCGTATCTTAGTCGAGATTCTACTCGAGTACAACTTCGTAGTTGTTTTAGGTCGACTTCGTAGTCGTAAGCTTCGTAGCTTAGTCGATATTCCACTCGAGTACAACTTTGTAATTGTTTTAGGTCAACTTCGTAGTCGTAAGCTTCATAGCTTAGTCGAGATTCCATTCGAGTACAACTTCGTAGTTGTTTTAGGTCGACTTTGTAGTCGTAAGCTTCGTAGCTTAGTCGAGATTCCACTCGAGTACAACTTCATAGTTGTTTTAGGTCGACTTCGTAGTCGTAGGAGTTGGCCGGCTTTATAGCAGTTTTGAAAATTTTGATTTTTCGAGTAATCATAATGGGATCGACATGAAAATGTAAAAGACACAATTGAAGCATAAACTCGAAATTCATTGGATTATTGAATTTGATTAAGCTTTGTTTAGTACAAAAGAGTTTAAAGACATTGCCTTAAGCATAAAAACGCTTGAGATGGATCACGTGCCAAGATCGCGGCAGTTGTCGTCCTTCGCCATCCTCGAGTTCATACGCACCTCTCTCAAGCACCCTTGTGATGGTGTAAGGTCCTTCCCAGTTAGCTTCGAGTTTCCCGACATGTTTGAGAGCGTCTGCTCATTTCAAGACGAGGTCGCCCACCTGAAATCGTCTGGTTCGGATTTTTTTGTCAAATGCGGCGCGCATTTTTTGCTTATAGTCCACAGATCGCACCCAAGCTTCCTCTCGCCCTTCTTCTCTCATGTCGAGGGCTTCTTCAACTATTTCCTCATTCTTCTTCTCCTCGTAGAATGTCGACCTATGAGAACCCGAGCCGACTTCGATAGGCAAGAGTGCATCCATCCCGTAAACCATGTGAAATGGAGACTGGCCTGTTACACTTCTTGAAGTCGTCCTATAAGCCCACAGGAATGTTGTCAACTCATCGACCCAAGTGTCTGATGCCTTCTCCAACCTCTTCTTCAGCCCTTGGAGAATGGTTCGGTTGGTCACCTCGACTTGACCATTGGCCTGGGGGTGTGCGACCGAAGCGAATCTTTGCTTTATCCCCATGTCGAGG